ACCCGAGACTTAGCCCAGCCTGTCCCACACTCACTGTGGCTCTCATGAATAATAGTGATTGCTGGACCCTAGCCCAGTCTGTCACTTTCCAGATCCAGTCCACACCCATGTTGAGGGAGACTGCAGTCGTGTCAACACCAGCCTGCTGCCCACATTCTGGCTCTTGTGCTCACCACCACTGGGAACACCAACTCAGCCACGGCATCCCCTTAGCTCCTTAACCAGTCCTGTTCCCACCTACAGATCTTGTGCATGCCAACAGAGATTGCAGTTCCACAGGGGTGAGCCCACATACCACCCCCCACATAGATTCTGTCCCCAGACCTGAATCTTTCATGTGCTCGTTAGTGTCAAGTCCCAATTTATCATTACCTATCCCCTGTTCTTACTTTCACTGATGGATACCGTGATTTAGCCCAGCCCTAGCTTTAGTGTATGCCTACGAGTGGTATTCAGTGATAGTGGAGGCTAACCACCCCAGCACAGGCCTCTCTTCTATGCTGGTACTTTAGTCAGGCCCCTAAGGGTCCTACCATTTCCTGCTCCAAACCACTCAGTCTCAGCCCTCTTTCTTACCTGCAAGGACAGTGGCCTTGTCCATGGAAGTCCATCAGTAGTCATTCCACACATGCAAATGAACCATCAGGTCCCTGTTCACCCCTACCTATGCCATGCCCCAGACCACTTGTAAGCTCACAACCACAACTCCCCATAATGTGCCACCAGGTGGCCTGAGGACTTGGCCTGTTGCCATTGTTGCCCTAGGTTACCTGACCTGGATCCGGCCAGCTGCAGTCACCTGGTGAATGGGGCAGAAATCATGGGTCCTGAATCTACAAAATCCAGGATCCTTTCTTTCTTAACTATTTCTTTCTTAATTTTTCTCAGATAATTCACTGTTGATATGTAACAGAGCTACTGATTTTTATACATTAATTTTGCATTCTGTGACTTCTCTGAATTTGCTTATTCCAATAATGCTTTGAAGGAGTATTAGAGTTATCTATTTATAAGATAATGCTATCTGAAAATAGTGAGAAATTGTCTTCTTTCTTCCCAGTTTGGATGACTTTTATTTACTGCTCTTGTGTAGTTGCTCTGATTGGACTTCCAGTAGTTTATTGAATAAGTATTTGCAGGTGGGCATTTTGTCTCGTTTCAGATCTTAGAAAGCTTTCAAATTTTTACCAGTATGATATTAGCTATGTGTATTTTTTGTTTTGTTTCCATTTATCATTATTATTATCAATTATTTTCTATGATAAAGTTTCATAGATTTGGGGATTTTCCTAACCCCTCCTCTAGTCCCTCTCCCCCAATTGATTTTCCCTACATTATTACAATAGTATAATTCTTCATAAACATCGTAGGTCTATCACTATGGTCATGGACAATTGCAGAGAGCCCAACATCCTATATTCAAAATATATTTAATAGTTTTTATTGAGAGTCCATCTTTGATCTGGAAACACTGATACATACTGCTTTGTATCCTCACATCTGGATATGATCATCTCCATTACACAGTTGCTATACATCCTCCTAAGCAAAAAGCCACAAAACAATACCGATAGGAAGAAAAATAGAAATTTATAATACCATGAGGTTAAATAACATGCTATTGAATAACTAATGTATAACTAAATAAATGAAAAAGAAAATCAACAACCTTCTTGAAGGAAATAATGCTCCTGTATGACCCATGAATTTAATATGAGAAAAACCTCCTTTGAAGAAAGGAAAATAAAAACAAAAACATCAAGATCTATGAGATATAGTTTTCACTGATCTTTGTTGGTGAGATGTGTCTCCTCTAGGCATCAAATAAATGAGTTTGTTTTTTGATCCAGTCTACTAATCTGACATTTGATTGATGAATTTAAGCCATTTACATTCAGGATTAATATGGATGGGTGGTAATTTGGTCCTGTCATTTTGCAATGGGTTGCTCATTGATTTACTCTTCTGTTGTCATTTTACTGGGATGTTCTTCACATTTGCCTTTGATTTTGGCGGATACTATTCCTCTTCTCTGTCAAGGCAGTCATCAAGCACATTGTCCTCTGCCTTTATTTTCTTGTTGTGTTTTGTCTGCTTTTGATATAAGGGTAATGGTGACCTCATAAGATGAGTTATAAAGAGTTCTTTCCTATTTATCTATTTGTTTTTCCATGTAATCTTTCATGTATATATATTTCCCTTTTGGGGTTGCTTTTATTGCACATGCACTCTCAGGAAACTAGGCACTCTGATGTGGGATGCAGGCATTTCAATAAGTTTCACTTAAAAAAAAAGATTTGCTTATTTAACTATTAACACAGAGAGACAGGGAGAGCTAGAGAGATCTTCCAAACACTGGTTCCCTTGCAAATACCCACAACAACTAAAGCTGAACCAGTCTGAAGCTGAGTTCCCAGTTTTCTCGTGTGGGTACATGGGCCTAAAACCCTCAGCCATCCTCTACTGCTTTCCCAGCCCATGTGCAAGTAGCTGGATCTAGAGTAGAGTCACTGGGACTTGAACCAGTATCCATATGGAATGTTGGCACCAAAGGCAGAATATTAGTCTGATAAGTCACCATTCTGGCCTGTGCAGTTGGCATCTTGCAGACCAAATACCAGTGTGTACTCTTTGTTGTGTTTGATATTAGTGTCTTTTGTTGTGTTTTTATTTGTCCATAGTATAATTTTCACTTGAAGAATTTGATTTTTTTTAAAGTACTTGCATCTCTCTGCCAAATCTCTCTGTTAGAGCATTAAATTGCTTCTTGGTTTTCTTGCAGTTTCTTGATTTTTATTAGAACAACTAACTTTAATTTTTTATTCAAGCATTTGACAATGTTAGAGCCTGGGAGATTGGTTCCTGGCAGTTTATTTTATTCTTTAGGTGTGAGGTCAGATTCTCTAGGTAAGAGTTTTTGATGCTAGTGGAATATGACATGGTCTGCACATTGATTTTCTTTGAGACTTTATGATGTGAGTTTATTCTTGTTCTTCCAGAAATACTTTCCCTGAACCTCTGGAGTCTTGACTTCAATATTAGGTTGCTCCCCTAGTTGAGGTTTGCTACAGGTCTGTTGCCAATGCACAATTAGTGCCTCAGTGATTCCTTGAGCTCAGATCTGTCCCAAATCTACAGTCAGTGCTTTGAAAATAATGAACTGAGAATTCATTGGAAAAAGGGACCATGCATCCCTATAAACCTCCCTGTGAGCCCACGGCAAGCTCAAATGCCCAGTTGTGTAAGCATCAATACTGCAACACTAGATTGCCATCTAGTCCACAGCCCACTCAGATCAGCTCCCCATGGGGGTCGGACCAAAACCTGTACTGTTACAGTCTGTCTTCTGACATGGAATCACAGCCTGAGACTACTTTCACTAACCACATCTGATGGTGGATGGAATATAAAACCAAATAACTGGAACTACGTGAATCTGCTTGGCTGTCAGTGTAGACCCAGTGGTTCCACCTGCAGGTACTGATCTGAGCCCAGGAAGACTAGGAAATTCTTAATTTGGGATTCTACAAGTCCAGCAATGAGCTCTAAGGCATAGTCTTGTGGTTCCTTGATGTCTACTCAATGATGAGGAAAGGATAATAAATACAGCTCCACTAGGCAAAATCACACCAGGGTCTCATAATCACCAGGCCCTGAGAAATCCTGGGATTGTACACTTGACACACATGAGGCTAGCAATAATAGGTACCAAGATGAATCTGTTCCACCTGGGTACAGATCTCTGATGGTAGGGCAGATCTAGAGGCACCAACTTCAGGCACTGATGATGAACTTTACCAGCTTCCCACTGAGTCCTGAGACACAGTTCTGTGGTTCCTTTTTATCTGCCCATGGTTAGAGGGGAAGTGATGAAGACAAACACTTGATCATTTAAGAAGGTACCAAGTTGGTCAAAACTGAGTTTCACAATCATCAGGCCTTTCCTGGTATAATTTCAGAGGTTCAGCTAAGGCCCTTGTGAGCCTGGCATTGGTGTGTGACAGAGCATGTCTGTCCCATTGAGGCTCATATCTCTGATCACAGGGCAGCTCCACAGGCTCCATGTATAAGCACTGAATTAAGCTAGTAGAGGTCTTTGGGTTTTATTAAGTGCTGGGTCACACAGCAGCAGCCCGATTAAGGACTCCATGGTACAGCCCTAGATACCCTTTCTTGCTTAACTCCTTAGCACCAGGAATCATCTTCCATTGCTTGGTGATGAGTGATGAAGTTGGTCTGGACTAAAGAGGAACCCAAAGCTTGGTCAACAGTACTAACCAAGTTCGAGTTTTTATCATTTTAGGCCTGGTATAGGATATAAAGTCTAAAGTCTGGACTTAATTCATTCTTTTTCTCCACACTGTGCTACTGGGAGAAGGAGAAGTGTTGTTGGTATTTCTTTGCTTGCTGCTTTCTTCAAGAGAAAAATAGGCATGGTGGTTTGTTTTCTGTAACTCCTGTGCAAGTGACTTGGGAGTGTGAACAACTGTTCAAATTGGTGTCTGTGGGGAGATGGTCACCTGAGCATCTTACTTAGCTGCCATCTTGCTCCATTTCCCTTGTTATTTCTTTCTTAGTTTTATGTATAATTTACATGCAGTAAAAGGTTTTGCAAAATATTTAAACTTGCAGTTACATCTTAGAATATTAAGAGCTTTCTGTTATTAAATGACTGCTCTTCTAATGCTCAATAGGAACTGTGATGTAATATGTCACAAAAATGGAAAACGTAATAGTCTTTATCTCTCATAAGGAGAAATGATTCAATAACATTATTTCTTTACTTTAAAAAAATGGATGACATCTAGAGAATTTTTTGGAATTTTCTCAGCATTTAAAACTAGTACTACGAAAAATAAGCATTACTAAGGTAAATCACTGCTTATCTCAATTTATAATAATTTCATTTAATATCATAAAATGGTATGCATATAATACATATAATTGAATATATTTTATATAATTTGTGACTAACCTAAATGTTATAACTTGAAATCTAGGGAGCCAAAGGAGATCCGGGTTTTTCCCCAGGACAAGCAGTTTCTGGAAAAAAGGTAATTATTTGTTCATGGGATAAAACAGATGGCATATATATTGAGCATCTTATACTGATTTTTATCTTTTTAAAATTTAGAATTTACTGTATCTAAAGTAAGGAAAGATTTGAAAAACTAAATAAAATAAAGCATATTAATTTAATTTTGTTGAGTGACTGTTGTGACCTGCCATCATGGCATCTGTGAGAAATATTTTTTAGTGTTAATATATATGCATGAAATAATGTGTAATTCTTAATGTTATTTTATCCCCTTTTGGAATACATCTGAATTCTCTATCTTATATGTGTTACAGCAATTTTAGGTGAGAGAAGCAGTATCATTAATTTGTTTTGTAATTGAGAAAATAAAATTTATAGATTTAAAATGCTTGTCATATGGCTATGAGATGGAAGAGTTCATACATATTTAAATTTTCTGATTTGCAGTCCATTATGCTTTTGTTTCATTATAATGCTGTCACACACACACACACACACACACACACACACACACACACACACACACACAGCAACAAAGATTTCAATAAACTCTACAGGGAGGAGGATTTTATTTTATAGTATAAATAAACATAAATAGATTCTTTAGGAGAACAACTGAGAACTGTGTTTAGGCAAGCACATGATAAATATTATAATTATAGGATGTTTTTGTGTATGTGCTATACATCACAGCTGAAATTACCTAGACAATTTTGATGATTTCTAGGGTTGAAGTTTAGAAATTACAGCAATGTAATGTAACTGAGTTCACTAAGTCTAACTTAGAAAAGGTATGAAAGTTTAGTGCTAGAAACACAGTATTTCCAGTACTCTTTTAATTGTTGTATGGATAAAAACCCTATAATCTATGAAACATAAATAAATTCCATTTTTGAAATATAAATATAGGACATAGGATTTTTCACAAGTTAAAAATCAGAGGTCAGCTCCATTTCAATGACTGCTTTAAATGAAACCCACAGTTTAAACATTGTTTCTGTTCAAATGCTTAGTATTATTTTTCCCTGTGGCTTCTCTGGACAGAATACAGGGTGGTTCTGCATGGCAGTGAAGGTTTGGAAGTATGTCAGCATTTTTGGTTTTGTTTTTGTTTTACTTTTTAAATTACATATGTAATAGTTGTGGTTAATACTTTATATCAGAAATACAATAAATGATGGAATTTAATAACATATCACCTTTACACTATAAGTAAAATGCAACTTTTAAAATTGAAAGACTGTTTCTAAACTGGTATTATTTTGAAACAATCTATTACAAATTACATTTATATTAAATTGGGTTCACATATAATGAGGAAGAAGTAGATTACGTAATTTGAAAATTAAAAAAAACACATTAAATTGATAGGAGCAGAGAGGGGTTGCAAAATTATTCTATCATTTTTGGAGAATAAAAACGGATATATTGCTCTGCTCCTAACCCTGTATAGTGAAATACATGATGTTTTTTCGCTTTATATAAATAGAAATAAGAACTAAAAATAATAAAATAAAAATAAGAAATGAATCAGTAAAAGAAATCGCAGCAGTTCATTTTTCATAATGCAGAATCCACTAAGCAACATCTATAATTTGGGCACAAAAACGTTTTTAAGGCCCTTTGGAACCTCGTAGCATTCACAGGCGCTTTGGAACCTCGTAGCATTCACAGGCCCTTTGGAACCTCGTAGCATTCACAGGCCCTTAGGAACCTTGTAGCATTCACAGGCCCTTAGGAACCTCGATGACATTCACAAGCCCTTAGGAACCTCGCAGCCTTCACAGGCCCATTGGAACCTCAATGACATTCACAGGCCCATTGGAACCTCATAGCATTCACAAGCCCTTTGGAACCTCAATGACATTCACAGGCCCATTGGAACCTCGTAGCATTCACAGGTTTTTATAAAATCAATTTTTAAAAGTGATGTAATTTACTTTCCCCAAAGGACAAGTGGGAAACCCACAGCATCATCAGCATTATTCTGACTTTTCAGACATAGAAACACTGGAAAAAAACTGATTCACCAGTGATTAAAGCTAATTGAATTAGTCCATTGTTGATTCACCTTCTCCTAGTGCATTTCCTTTCCTACTATCACTAATAAATACAAAGCAAGCAAACAAAAAAGATACAGCATGGAAAATCTATACAAAATGGTCATTATGCCTCAAATGAAAGCTATTTCAAATACCTTTGAGAAGAAATATTATAATGATTATCCAAAAAATGGAAAAGCAGGCCATTGTTAGTAATCAGAAATAATCTTTCATCTTTCAAATAAATTTGAAGACAATAAAATGGACAGTGCATTAAAAACTGAATAACCTAGTTACTCCAGAACTTAACATTAATGAATCTGTTACAGTGGAAGGAGAAGAGGAAAGAAAAGAACGAAGGGAAAGATACATTGTCCATTGAATAAACTGGCTCTGAGAGAACTCAATCTCTAGCTTTCTCTCCAGCAATTCCTGACACATGCATGGTCTCCCATCTCAATTCACGTGTCTCCTGTCACCTCCTCTACATTTGTTCTCCCCCTCTCACCAGTATACTTGCTCATTCCTTCATGATGTGCGCAGGACTACTGTAATTTGTTGGGTCAAATTTGTGCAAGCTGAACATAGAAGCAGAAGCTTTTCTCTTAGACCGTGTTGCAGGAATCGGACCCAGCCTCCCTGGCTCCTAAGTCCAGATCTTGGATTCTGACAAGGCCTCAGTGTATAAAGATGGGGGTCAGGTCTTCTAAAGCTACCTCACAACACACTTGGAGAAGTTTTGGAGTTATTTAAATTGATGGGGATTTGGGAATGAGAGGTCAAAAGCAGCAAGCACCTGGAGGTAAGAAAGTGCAAACTGGATATTTAGTTCTGGAAGAAATAAGAGCTGGGAAAGGAGCCAGAAATGAATGTAGTAGGTTTGACTCCTGAGATTAAAGGGAGCTCTAATGTTCAAGTCTGCTTAATAACTTAAAACCTCTGTGGTTGGTTTGTAGGGTGATCAAGGTCTCACTGGATTAGTGGGTCCCCCTGGTGTGCGAGGCCATAAGGTAAGATGTAGATTTACTTTGACATTATTGAATGTAATATGAATCTAGAACTCTTTGACTATTACTTCTTTGAATTTGAGCCAAAACCAGATGGTTTTAATTCTTTTTCTTAGAAGAAGAAAATTAGTATGATGCCCTAATTCAGAAAAGTGAACACCAGTTCTTCAGGTTTCAATTATTTTATCTGTAAAACGTGAAGATAATAGTACCAATTTAGTAGAAAGTTTTGGGGAAGATGGAAAGAGATAACTTGGTATAACTTGCTTGGTATATGCTTGCAATGAAAGAACCCCACTGAACTTGAACTGTGGCAATGCAGCAAGGTGGAGGAATCCACCATGGGGGGAGAGTTGGGGGAGCAGTAGGGAGAATCCCAGTACCTAAAACTGTCATATAACGCAATGTAATAAAAAGTTTTTTTAAAAAAAAACCACAATTTTTTAGAAATTTTAATAGAAAAATGACAAAATTAGAATGCACTCTTTCATGCAGTTGGTACTAAAAAAAACAGTTACCTAAAACTTAAAAAATAAATAAATAAACTAATCCTTCCTTGTTTTGGTTAAATTCTCCCTATGTTACATAAAATTAGCAATCCAGAAAGTGAAACATTAGGAAATGTTGAGTTGTTTTTGTGGAGAGTAGTGTATAACATACTGTTTCTGGGAAGAACAAGTGCTAATAAACAACAACAACAACAAAATCATCTACTTTTAATGATTAAATCTAATAATTGTCTTAACTGCCAGGTATTACTTAAAGCAGAAAATAACTAATTTCCAAATACCTGTTTACATGCTAAATGGTTAATTTTAAAATAGTAAGAAGACTTTGTGGTCTGTACTAGTATAGAAAGATAAAATAGCATTACTCTAAACATACTGAGCCATGAAATGACTTGAATATTTTCCCACAGATTTCCTTGTTCTCTTACATTGCTTTTCAAACTTTTAAAATCTAAGTTTAATGTTGAAGAAATAGACCTTGTGTATAACAGGGATTTTGGATGTGTTGCCAACCAGCAAAGTTGCTGAATTTTTTCTAGAGTAGTTTTAATTAAAAGCATTTGGAAACTAATTTACTTTCTGACAAATGAAGTACCCATGGTTTATTCAAGTTTAACATAGTGTTAAAATATTTGATACATTTTTTTTAGATTTTCTGAGAATATTTTCCTCCTTTTCAGATTATGTCTGTTACTGGAAATGATATATAGATTTTTGAAAGGCAAACATCGTTAAGAATAAGATGTTATATTGAATCCATATTCAATATATCTAAATTCTACACCTAGCAGGCTGCGACAAGTTTCCATATTCTGTTTGTGCATGGCTGTCATGGTATATTTTATATTGGTGCAAAACGTGGCTGATACTGAGTATATCTTAAGGAGATTGATTTAGGTCACAGATCTGGGGGTTCAGGAGCATCTGCTCAGCTCTCCTAGGACATCAGGATGGATGCCGTCAAAGTGGTGGGCACAAGTGCAAGATTGGTGAGCAGCAAATGTGGAAGAGAGATTCAGGGCATCCAAACATTGATATGAAAATTCATTCTCGTGGGAAATAATAGTCTCAAGAGTTTAGCATTAACCTTTTTTTTAAAGCTGATTATTTTTCACCAGGCCACATACCTTAAAAATTCTGCCACCTTGATATCACCACACTGAGGACCATACTTCCATCACACTAATCATTGGGAAACGCATTCCATCTATACAAGGAGCCTAGTGGTGCCTTATTTTAATATATGTATAAGGTACAAATGCATTCAAAATCTGCCAGATATATTGTTCTTGTGTTTTTCTGGAAGATTAAACAGCAATTCTGATTAGTGGCTGGAATTTGAAATAAATAGTGTAAACATAGAATTTTATTTTCTTAATTAAATTAAACAATTTGGTTCTTTTTTATAGACCACTTCAGTGAATTACTGAGTGGGTTGCTGCAAATGAGATTCATTGTAGGAAAACCTAGAATAATGACCCATACCAACTGTAGTCTAGGGACTACCATTATTTCATTATCTCATTTCTTCCTGAAAGTGTTGTATGTATGTATAAGATCACAACAAAAACTTAAATCATTAATTTTGTGAGAAACCCAACATAAAAGAATATGTTAGAACATATGCTAGAACACTATGTTAGAAACATATGTTAGAACACTAGCTCAGGGTAACCTCAAAAGTTATGTCAGTATTGAGATATGAAACTGACATCAAATCTGCTGTTTTAACTATTTGCTTCATAATTTTGTAAATAAGTTAAGATACTTGTTGCTTTAGTCTGTACATGATTGGGCTCTCCAACTCACCTATGTGTTTAGATTGCATAGTCATAAGGTAATAGTTCTAAAGAAGGTGTAGACTTAATCCAAGTATGGTATTTGGGATGGGCCTAGTGGGGCCCTTGGCTATGCCCTCAGATTGGCTATGAAAATTGAGTTGTGTCTAACCTCTCCCTGTCTACTTCCTGGTTTACATCAACACTCCCACTTTTCTACCCATTGATGCTCAGTAGATGTGGTGCACCTGGTGTTGGACTATGAACTTCCAAAGCTGTGAGTGTAAATCAATAAAAACATTTTCTTAAAAAAAAAAAAAAGGGAAACAGAAGATATACTCATATATTTGAAAGGCATAATTACAGAGAGAAGAAGAGACAAAGAAAGATCTTCTAGCCATTCAGGAAATGGCCACAATGCCTGGGTCATAGCTTAGAACTGCCCCTATAGACCATTTTCTGCTGCGATCTCTGGCACATTGACAAGGAACTAGATCATAAATGGAATAGCTGGGATTTGATCAGTGCTCCTATGTGTTGCTGGCATAAACTGATTTAAGGGCCAGGCTCTGAAGCCTAGTAGCTAAAGACCTTCTCTAGTTTGCATCAGGATACCATATGGGTGCTGGTTCATGTCCCGGCTGTTCCAGTTCCCATCTCTGTTTGTGGCCTGGGAAAGCAGTCAAAGACAACCCAAAGCCTTGTGGCCCTGCATCTGCATGGGAGGCCTGGAAGAAACTCCTGGCTATTGACTTCAGATTGGCTTAGGTCCAGCCATTATGGCTACTTAGGGAGTTAGCCAGTGGACAAAACATCTTTGTCTCTACCTCTCTCTGGAAATCTGAATTTCCAAAAATCTTTTTAAAAACCTGATTTATGTGCATAAGGGTTAAGTCACTTAAGATCACACAGCTTCTAAATGACAGAATGCAGGCCTTTTTTTGACATGGATGACTACAGTTTAATAAATTTGCATACTGCTTCCCTGTGAATCTCTTAAGTCAATTTTTTGTTTAATTCTGGCATTATAATATTTCCATCTTTCACATGAATGCAAGGGGAAGTAAAATGTTATTTTCTGTGAAAACTAAGGGAATAAATACAGTTTCAAATAATAAGTAATAATGACTTCATTATTATATTTCTTTGGATTGTTTCTGGACATATTAAAACTCCTCAAATGTAAACCTAAGTCAAGTAGTCTTTAAAGCCAAAAGGACTTTAAGGAAGTTGTATAGAGCATAATGATAGCTCACTAATACTGTTGTGATCAACTAATAGAATATATAATATAATATATATATATAAAATTGAGTTTTGAAAATTTTAAGTTATCATTGAGACAAATAAGAAATCGGAAAATTAGCAATAATATTTTCTTTATATTTCATTAGATTATTTTTGGTTTGCTTCATTTTATCTCTTTTTCACCATTTAACACATATATACAATTTGTAAACCAGTATTAACATATTTAACAAGAAGTGTTTCCCTCAGATTGACTGGTTACAATGATTTAGTTTAGTCACCTTCATGTAATTTATTTTTCCCAAGAACTATGTCTATTTTTGTTTCTCACTACTGTCCTTTTTTTTTAATGCCAAAAAACTCAGAAAATTGGATCCAGAGTGCATGCTGTGTTGGATGGGAAGCAAAATTTATAATTCAAAACTTGGAACCAAGATATAATTTCAATTTTTAGAAAATATTCAATCAGTCGCTATGTTAAAATTGGAAGCCTATTGTTTACAGTGATAATATTAGCAATATAATCAATTAAAAGGCAATTTTTTCTAGGTGCGAGAGGATAGATCAGCTAGAAGAGGTCAAGTGTAACTTGGCATATGAATGTCAGTCAAAGCCGTTGAGAAATACCATTTACCCATGCTAATAAAACAATTTTTAAGCAAATACGCCTTTTTATTTGCGGCCATTAAAGTCTTTTATTTGTGGCCACTAAATTTTGAACATATTTGTTCGTTTTTAAGACCTGTTTGTGCGATGCCCGTTTCAGAACCACCAACTGTCACTATGAAACTGCATGAGTTTTCCCAATTCAGACTTGAACTTCTTTAGCATTTTTACTTTTCTGACAAAGACATCATGGAGAGGACTGGCCAGCTTTTTTCTTTGTTTTTTTTCCCAGTGCTGTCTGGAATCAATTTGTTGACCAAATCTTTCAAGTCATTTGTTTGCACCTCCTGGGTCATGATTTCCACAATCATCTTCCGGATTTGGCTGACCTGTTGGTGTTGAGTGCAAGAAGTCTTCTGTATCTGATTGCTGCATTTTTAAAAAATAAAATCAGCAGAGAATAGTTGACATGAATAAACATTGGTAGTACCAACATCAACATGTGTCTGTCATGGTCTCCTGGTTTTTGACTATGGAACACATTTTGTTGTAAGATTCATGCTGTGGAAGTTAGGCAGCTTTTGTTTTTAACATCTTTGATAATTATCCTGAATTGTGTAAATGTAATCCATCATTTTGCAGATAGAAAAATTCACTGCAAACGTGTGAGCCATGAGGTCTAATTTTGATTTCTTGAGTTCTCTTACCTGGTGTTTTTTCAGTACATATTGAAAATAGAAGGTGCTTTCATATCATACTAATTTTTCCTAGAAAAGGAGTCATTCTCATTTTTTTCTTGACTGCATTTTTGGGGTATTTTGTCAAGTACTAGCACATTTTCCTGAATATTGATGTGTATTGT